AAATAGGGTTTTTTACCGATTCGCTTCCCCGCTTATAATTGTCACCGCACGCCGCTGCAATACACTTTTGGTTTCTAACCACATTTTCTCTTGACGGATGATAATCAACGGCAAAAATGACATTCCTCGCAAATTTTGAAGTATAATTAGTGGAAAAGTCAAGTTTGTTAATTTTTTCCACTAATTGAAAATTCATACCACTAATGTTGACGTTCTGAATGCTTACATTCAAATCAGAGGAACAAACTTCTACGCTAATTGAAACCACTAATTTATTCTACTAATTGCGAGGTTCTGAATGAAGCTTTAGTATGTTAGTATATGACATAAATCAGGATTGATTGACGTGTTCAATTAGTTTTGGTCACTTCCTGTTTCACCAGATATGCAAATACGTTTAAATTTTTTAGCACCTTTATTTTAAACGTAGTACCTTTATTTTAAACGTATTTGCGGATATGACTACAATTTTTTATTTTTAAATTGTACTCTCGGTATTTTTTTACTTTATTTGATGGAAAACGACATTCTGAATAGAATGATATATCGTAAAAAACAGTATTTTACTCATTATATCATTTCATTTCATCAAATAAAGTAAAAAATTTCCGAGGGTACCATTTAAAAACCAAAATTCATTCCGGTGAAACAGGAAGTGACCGAAACTAATTGAATACGCCAATCGATCCTAATCAAAGATCCTGATTTATGTATACTAACATACCAAATCTCGTTTTTTTTATCTGAAAAAATAAAAAAAGTATAAGGGTGAGCCACTTTTGAAAAACACCCGATATATTTGAGACATTTATAATACTTGTTTTTGTCTAAGACAAAGTCAAAATTACTACTTTGAAAAATATTGCTTACTTTTAAACACCGGTATCTCAAAAAATAAACAAACAAAACTAGGAGATAGAAAAGACATTGTAATAAATAACATAACAGGGGAAATACTAGAAAAATATATATATTTGGAACAACTAATACACAGCTCGGGATCTCTACTACCAGAAATCAACAGAAGAAGTATGTTAGCATGGAGTACTTATGGAAGAAAGTCAATCATATTCAAATCAGAATGCCACTTTATCTAAAGAAGATAAAATTCGACCAATGTGTACTACCATGTCATGACCTATGCATGCAAAACTTGGACACTTAAAACGGACATTATAAGGAAACTGCAGGTCGCACAAAGCCCAATAGAACGAAATATGCTGGGAGTAACCCAGAAAGACCATAAAATAATAGAGTGGATACGAGAAAAGACCCAAGTAATAGACGTCATCCACATGACAATGGGTAGGACGCTTAGCAAGAAGGACACTTAACAGATGAACCACAAATATTACAGCATCCAGTAACCAAGAGGAATTAAGAGATCTAGAAGAAGACCAAACGTGGGAAGAATGAAATGAATGAAGACCAAAGATGGGACCTTGATATTAGGAAATTAGCAAGGATAACTTGGGCCCCCATAGCCAACAATAGACAACAGTGGGCCAACAAAGAGAGTATCTAAATATGTGAGGGAGGCTACACCATAATTGGAAATGGTTGAATAAGCTGAAGATGATGAGGATGACGGTCTCAAAAATAACTGTAATATTTAAGATTTTGTTTGGTTTGGTCAAAAAAGTCAAAACTTCAACTTGATTCTACTCCTACGTCTTTTAAATCTTTCTGATAGTACTTTTTGTCCAAGAGACTATATTCCCTATCGATACTTTGCAAATTGTTCCCCTGTATACAAAAGTTTGGCAAGAACAGTAGAGCTATTTAAAATTTTCAAAAAAGAAAATTACGTTATTTCTATTGTTGAATTTATTCTGCATTTTGTTTTCCTTCTCTTCTTTGTTGGTACCAACAAAAATTGACTCTCTGAATTGGCTTTTGTATTGCGCTTTCTTTTAGAGAAAATAAAAAGTTAAATGAAGTGGGTGTTGAAATATACGAAACCACTCTCCGTACTCCTACATAAAAACGTACAATTGCGTGCGTGAAGCTTTAACAAGACTATTTATTTCAAAAACAGCGTTTTTAAATTCGTATGTGAAAAAGTAATATTTATTTTGCCTCAAGGCGGATTGCTGTACCACCTAAAATATGTTACGCTTTTTCAAAAATATTAACAATTGTTTTATATACAGGATGAGTCTTAATAAGAGGGTCAATTTAAAAATATTGATTACCAACTGATTACAAAGTGTCTTGTTTTAGTGATTATCTCCCAGAAGATCGATGTAACAATCCTTCTAGGTATCTACAACAAAATTATCTCTCAAATTGTATCGAATATAAACGTATGCTAACTAGATGTATTACTTCGAGGGTGAAACATAATGGCTTCGTATTTTATCGGTATTGTTCTTTATAATGCAAATAGGTTTTTGACACTCCGTAACAATATAATGCAAATAGGTTTTTGACAGTCCGTAACAATAAGGCAATTAGCCGAAGACGTGGAAAGAATCGTAATTTTGGGATAAAGGTGGGACCACACGTGAACGCTTTTATGAAAGCCCCGAATTTGAATAAAGAGGCGATATCTAAACACTTTAATTTCTTCTTTAGGGATACGTATTGCTTTAGTATTCATAGGGACAAAGGTGTGTCTTTTTCAGGTAACACCAGACAAAAGTAATACCAAAACCTATTATGTGTGAAAGGTAAAAGAGAATTACTTGTGGAATAACATTTGCTTTCTTAATATGTTCATATTTATACAATGAAGAATAGGACCTTCGATCATAATAAAATAGAGTTCAAGTAAATTTAAATACTTCAAAAATAATAAATATCTAAAAAATACCACATCAATTCATTTAAAAATAAATAGCCCTGATATCTACTAGTTACCCTAAAAAGCAGATTAAGGTATTAGAAATATGCATATATACAGGGTGAGTCTTAAATCAATACAAATATTTTTAGGGGTGGTATATTTCGACCCCAGAATCACGTCTAGATATGTTTTTTTTTTCGCGAAAAAAAATTGAAAATTTCGATTTTTTTTATTTTTTTGGAAAATTAAAAAAATTATAAAATAATGAATCTAATTAACTTTTATTTTTTTAAATAGGTACCTTTAGAACACACACGGCGTCCAGATGACTTTGAAATGACGATCGAAGCCATCGAAAATCCAAGCCATCTATGACGCCGTTTTTTTTTCGGATCGTATTGTACTACTTCAGCTTTCCATTCTACTGACTTAATCAATTTTCAGATTTTTTAAAATGTCATTATATCTCAATAATTTAATTACGTAGTAAATATATAGTAATTATGTAGTCTCAGTCAAGTTATAAACGATTACCATTTTAGTTTTGTTTATCATGACATATTATTGACATAAAAATATATTAAACACATTTTTTGATGTCAATAGAATAGTTTTTGATAGAATAAAAAAACTTTTTAGAAATTTTAATTTTCTTTTGATGCAATTTGGTCTTTTTTGGATGTTATTTATTCTACCAAAAAAACTTTCAGTATAATCTATGAGATCATTACAAATCACCTAGGTCAACCTTCTACAGTATCTACTAACAGGTAAATTGATATTATTTCATAAATGGACGATAAAGCACATTTTTTTATCCATCTAAGATACATTTAAGACAAGGACAATAAAATAAGTCATACAGTTATGTTGCAATTTTTAATTTTACCAGATGTTCTTCGAGGCTATATGTTTATAATAATATCGAAACTATAGTCATTTTTCTAAATATTCTTTTTAACTTTACATTCCGTTTTTAAAAGCCTAAAATAAGTAACTAATACTCATACCATTAAGTTGCATAAAGCACCAAAGTGTATCATTATATCATATTTTTATTCTTCGCTACAATACTCTGGGAGCATTAACATTAAAACAAAATAAAAATGTTTTATGTAAAAATTCAGTAGGTTGTGAAGCTACAGTGAGAAATTTATTAGTGATCATGAAATATAAATATTTCTTATTGACAAAGACTGTACATTTTGAAAGCTCAAATTCGTTGAACAGAGAAAAAAAACAAAATAAAAAGAAATATCAATTTAAAATAACACAGGATCGAAAAAAAAGACGTTACAATGGTTTTTGAAGTGACACACGATGATAGTTTCAGTTGAACCGATCTCTATAATTTTTTATGTTAACTGTTGCTGTAAGGGTCGGCTCATCAGAAATTATTATCATCGATTGTTGTTTCAAAGTCCAGTATACACCGTTTTTTTTTCAACTACGCGGCATGTAAATCCACTATCATAAGAACACTTTAAACACTTTTTAAAAGATGCCTTTATTTAATCTTAAAACATGAACACCCCAAGTAAAACTAGAATGCTTTAAAATATTCATAATATTCCGTTTTTTATTTAGATTTACGTGTACAAATACAATATGATCGGAAAAAAACGGCGTCAGCGATAACTATGAAATGAGGATCGCTGTCATTTCCAAACCAACTGAACGTCGCGTCGTCTTTTTTCGATCATACGGTACATGAGTTAAACATGTTAATTTATAATTATTGCAATATACCATATGATCGAGAGAAAAAAAAAACGGCGTCCAAATAGCTTTGAAATGTCGATGATTGATGATGACATTGACCATATAATTTTCAACATATTAAAAGACAGCTACCTTCTTTTCCAAACAATCCCTGATACCGTATTTTTTACCTCTTGAAATAACAAGTGTTGCGTATTTTTTGTTGGTGAGGTAAATTTCTGTTAAATCACATATTTTAAGTATTTTGATTTAGTTATTCCAAAAAAATGCAGCGATGACACCAACACAAAGAAATATATACATTCAACTGAACTCCTATCGAGTAGTAATTCAAAATTATCAAAATAATTTCTAATTTCTCTTCTCTCTCTATCATACGATACCGTGCAAATTATTCCGAATTTCAAAAATCAAGCTGGCTCAAATGAAAGCTAACCACCAACCTACGACAACGCTCAACAGAAAAATCCACCCCCGACAATCGAACTACCTTAACACTGACCGAAAAGGACCATCTGGCCTGAAGAGATCACCCGATTACACATCGCCCGGGTCTTGTAGTACCTACGCCGGTACCGATACTCGCAGTACTACCGCGCTTCGAGACAGATACGAGCGAACTGCAAGCGCCCGCGGTCGCCGCAGTAACCCACTTGGACCTGGTGCTGTCGCTTGCTGCTGCTGCAACTGGTCGCCAAAGGTGCCCACGCCAAAAGTGCCGCCCACCTGCTTACGGGCATCTGGGATCTGTGGGTGAGCTTTTTCCGATGCTCTTTGGTTGATGATACGCGACGGAAAAACTGAGGAAGTGAGAAAAATCGGGGACGCTGAAGAGTGTATGATTGAATAGTGTTGTGACCTTAACCTCGAAAAGAGCGAGGTAGGCGCCAGTAGTCTGATGGATAGTGTCGTAACAAAAGAGATCGTATAAGAAATATGCGAGTTTGAATTAAAAGGATTTATTTATTTTATGTTGGGTCTTTAATCGTTCTCCAATGGACAGAAGATTCTATTGTGGCTCAAAGAGCAGAAAGAAAGCTTGGACAAAAGCAAGAGTTGATCAATTGAGATCGACAGAAAAAAAATGAAAAGATGTCACCCAAGTCAACTTGAAGCAATCCAGCTAGGCTACATAAGATTTGCCAGGCCAGGACTCACAAGATAAAGTCTCTAAAGGAAAACATTATTCTAATAGAATCACAACAAGTAGCGGACAAAAGAGCCTGCTATTTACTTCATTTGTATTCTCTCAACTTCAACAACTTAATTTATTTCATAAATGTACTACGATTTACGAGAGTACGAATTTACGAAAACAGAGATTTCTTTCTCCATACTTCTATCTTATAAACCCCTACTTCAAACATATACCGTGCTTCTATTTTAACTGTGTATGGTATATATATAACTGTATCACACCCTTGCTTCACGATTGCATGTTAATTTATTCTAAACAGAATTTTGACATCGTGTCATCGTTCTTTGATGCACACTGTACAGCGAACAACACAATTAAAAAGGTTATACTAAAAGGATATTGTTCTTAGTGAATATCATGCAATTTGTGACCATATAAACTATTGTTAGTCTGTTCAAATTCAAATTCTTTATTCTTGTTAAATTATTGTTAAGGTTTACAATCGTCATGTTATCAAGCATAGAACATTACAGTTAAAATGTACACATTAACAAGTTCTCCACAAAGCTCAAATACATTAATGCTGTGTCAAATACATTAAAAAGCTGTGAGACTGTATGATAAGTTATAACTCGTTATAACTCACGAGGAACACACAATAGATTACAATAGATCTGTAAGGTCGCGGTGATTAACCCCCCTCCTAACTATTTCAAACATTGTTGATCGCTCCGTAGTAACCAAATTAGATGATAGGCACTAATAGGATTTAGATTTATAAAAATAATTATTTAAATAAACGCCACTTCAAGATATAGCCATGATATAACAAAAAAAATAATGTAATATTGACCAATAAAAATTCAGTGCAAAAACAAAAGAGATCTTGTTTCAGATAAGGCCATACCTGTTGTTTTCAGAATGTCAATCAGCTTTCCATCTTTGACGATGCTCTCCGCCGTATTTCTTAACGAAAATTGGAGCCAAGGTCATCGATATACGATGCTGCACCGCACCAGTACCGACCCCCTTCGATAAACCCGATATCTTTTCCCAATCGCGGTTATGTAACTCGATCGGAATCGGACAAACCCGATTCAATTCGACACTAATCGGCCTTTTTGTCTGATAATTGCTGGAAAAATCGCCTCTTTCATCCCAGTTGTTATGGCGATGGCGGCGGCAACAGAAGCCGCGCGCCGGCCATCAACCTTTCGAGAAAACGAGAAGAAGAAGCAAGAGCAAGCAGGCCGTAGCGCTGGCTAAAGCTGGTTGCTTGGCGCAGCGGGAGCTGGGAGTGTACGCTTAAACCCTTTTAATGTTCGAACTTTTGTAAATAAAAATGAATATTTAACTGGTAGCCTCTGATTTACTGCGCAATACATACCGGGGAGAAAAAATCGTGACAAGCGGATTTTCGATAGCCACAATGAGCGTGTGTCATGTTTTTCAATCGATTTTTAAGTGAATGCGCCGGTGTGATCTGGATTAGTACTTACCGCCTCGGTTTTATTTTTATTGCAACATAATTTTAAATCAGGAATAAGGGGCCTTCCATAAATTACGTGTGGAGTTTCTGACCCACACGTAAGAGAGAGAGAGAGAGAGAGAGATGTGAGATGTCGTGAGATTTATCTCGGTTCCCTCCCAAGAAGTGAGATCTTGTGAGAAGTGTGTCTCAAAGTGACTTTGAGACAGAGATAATAAAGACTAGTGTTTGAGATTGTTTAGATCGTAATCTAAAAGCACAGTGATAACATTAAATAATTCTTAAATGGGAATTGCTAAAATTAATAGGGACTAGTGCACGATCCAAAGTGTGATTGTTGGTACCAACAAATCCAGGTGATTTTCAGTAAAATCTATACTAATATATAAAATCCTTAAGTGACTGACTCACTGATTAATCACGATCCTGCTCAAACCACTCAACGTAAGAAGCTCAGTTTTGGCATACAGGTTGAGTCTAGGGTGTAAAGGTTCGATAAGGGATTTTTCGAAATTCCAGTTCCAAGGGGGTGAAACCACCCCTCAAATATTACAATATTTTTTATTTAAAAAACGGCCAAGTTTCCGAAAAGACGCTTAAACACTTATATTTTATTTTGTTTTTTTACATATTTTAAGATTTTTTTAAAATGTATACAGGGTGTTTCAAAAAATCTGGTCATTGATTAATCACGATCCTGCTTAAAGCGCTTGACGTAAAAGCCGATTTTTGGAAAACGGATTGACTTTAGTGTGGTATAGAGGTTCGATAAGAAGGGGTTTTCCAAATCTCAAATTCCAAGAGGGTGAAAACGCCAGTGAAATGCGGTGAAAACGATTTTTATCTTTCATATTTAGTAACTGCCAAAATATAATAACATCGCCATATTGTTTTTTCTCATGCTGACCTAAATGTGAGAAAATTTTATACAGTTTGTATGTTAATGGAAATTCTTGCTTTGCTTTATCATCACCATTACAAATTATTAATTCGATGCGAACGAAGTCGCAAGTACAGGCTAGTAATCTATATAATTGCTGGAAATCATTAACAACATTAGATTTGCCGATGACACAGTTCTTATAGCCGGCTATGATATTGGACTCCAGAGGTTAGTGGAGCGACTTGAAGGCACCTCTAAGTTGGAATTGAAAATAGTTGAAAATTGATCGTCATCCCTAACGGGATGAAGATCAATTCCTCTAAAACCAAAGTCATGGTATTTGGATCACCAAATGTACCAATTCCCATTAGAATAGAGGGCAATACCTTAGAACAGGTCTACAATTTCAAATATTTGAGGTCCTGGATAGTTAACACCTTGAACAACGAGGTGGAAATAAAAACCCGAATAGAACAAGCCAGAAATGCATTTTTAAAAATGAAGAACGTTTTCCAGAACCCCAGATTGGAGCTTGAGTTGAGAACTAGGCTCGGTAGGTGTTATGTTTGGTCAATCTCATTAAACACGGAGCAGAAACATGGACACTGAAAGTTCAAGAGATGAATCGCCTCGAATCGTTTAAAACATGGATATATCGAAGAATGTTTAAAATTCCATGGACAGCCCATGTCACAAATACCGAAGTTTACAACAGAATACGCAGAGAAAGATAATTGCTTAATAAAATAAAAACAAGAGAGAAAAATTTAAAAAATTGTAAATACCACGTCTGACAACTAATAGTTAAGGGTAAAATTGAAGGAAAAAGAGGTCCCGGCAGGAAGAAACTATCTTGGTTGAGAAACATCAGAAACTGGACTCAGCTAACTTTTGAAGAACTCATAAGGAAAGCCGAGAATCGTGAAGATTTTGCCAAAGAGACGGCGCGTAAAGAAGAAGAAGATCTGCTCCTTCACCTCATTGCTCTGATTTACCCTCTCCAAACCGTTGTCCCTTGCGCACAGAAGTTCACTAGCTACACGGAGAAAATGAGTCTCGAAAATACAGAGTGAGTCTTAAATAAGTGCAAATATTTTCAAGTCTGGTAGATCTCGATAAAAGAAACATATTTTCTCTTTACCATTTCTCAGAAAGTCCAAAATAACCGAGTTATTTAAGTTTAAAAATTAAAAAAAAATGTTTTTTTTTGAAAAATTTTGAGAGCCACCGGATTTTTTCTGTATTTACATCCCTTTTAGTGCCGTAACCTTAGGCCGTAACCATGGAGTAAAGCCGTAACTATGGTAATATCAGATATTAAGAAATTATACCGTGGGAAAATTTGAGGTGAACAGGCAACATTTTAGTAAAATTTACTAACAGAAAGTAATAAATACATTTTATATTGTAAATATTCCAAAACGTTTAGTAAAATTTACTAAAATATTGTAATTTTTACTATATTATTCAAACCCGGACTATTATCTTTTTTTTCAATTGGACAATATTAATAAATTATTATCTTATGATAACGCGTACGTTCTAAATAAAACTGGTGGTACCAAATCATACGCCTACCCCGCAAATAGCAATAACGTAATAACAATAATAATAATTTAGATTTAAGAATGCCCCGTTTTCAATTCAATTTAATTTATATCACACCGCCCGTCAAAACAGACAACATTATTAACCGATTAGCTATCTACCATGCAAAATCAATCTCACAATCGAGGGAACGTAGCCAGATCGAAGTTGTTTCTAATTCGATTAAAAAGTAATCGCCTCGAATCGATCAATATAAACCAGAGAATTTAAAAGATGTAGATTGCAAGTTTTCATTTGAAATCACTGACGAAAGTAGTACAGTTTCAGCACACTGAAGGGAATTCAAAAGGCTATCATCATATGTCTTTAAATTTTATTTATTATTATATAATATTATTTGTCTTTTCTCTGTACATTTTTAAAATTCATAGATCTTGGTTGGCTATATACTTCAAGTGTGTATCTTAGAATCACAGAACATGTACCTTATTTCTAGTTATTATTTAACAAGAAATAGCTATCTCATCCGATAGATGCAGCCTTAAAAGTCCATTTCACTAGTGCGAAAAAGTAAT